TTTTTTGAGACCAGTGTTATAATGGGACAGGGGCAACGATGAAGCTAAGTAAAGGAGTAGCCAGAATTAACTAGCGCTTCCTTTTAACAACGTTGGCATTAGCCATATGATTCAGTATGAACAATTCGGTCAACGGCAGATATGCTCAATCAGGGTACAATGAAGTGAGGAAACCAGAGAGTAATTTGAAAACGTATACGCCACATTTCGATCTTCCCTTTAGTATGTGTGCCACTTTCCATCCTCCAAAAAAGCACATATTTAGGGAGAGAAAATGTTGGTCTGCATAGCGATACCAAAATGTACCAGACTCGCACGCAAGTGTTTTTGAAAATATAATTTTACAGTAGGCGGAAATGAATGGGAGTGTATGTGCGAATTTAACTTCCCGGTGTACATGCTCCTGGGACAGATGCTTCACTTGAGCGTACCCTATCAGCAATGTAGTGTTCTATATGTATATCTATGGGCCAATCGCGAAAACCGTAAGGCAGCGCAAGATGAGCAGGACAATCTTTGACCAAGAAAAAAAAAAAAAAAGAAGATCCGGAGCCGAAACTAAGACTCGTGGCCTACTGGCCCGAATAAAAAAGTTGAAAGGCTTAGCAGATAAATATAATTTAGATCAGCTGATAAAAGTTGCGACAAGAATTTCCAAATAATCTAGCACACAACTTGACCTGATCTTTACCAATAAACCAGAAAGAATAGCTAAAAGTTACAACCTGATTACTGGCTTATCTGATCATAATCTGACCTTGGTGGCTAGGAAGCTTGCTAAAAACAGGTTTAAATTTCTCTCAAAAACTCAAACCAATTTCTACTGCATACCCAAAAGTAGGCAAGCTGTGTTTGACAATGAAATCACTGATTTAAGTTGGGATGATGTTATAGCCTCTGATGATCTGGAGAGCAGTTGCAATATATTTACTAATAAAATAAAAAACTCTGTAAGGGAACATTTTACTGTTAAAGTCCAGAAAAAAATGTAAAAGAAAACAAAATCTACCATGGTTAAATGAAAATATGTGGAAACTCATGAAGAAAAGGGATGCTGCGCTAAAAAAAGCCATTAAATCTAAAGTGAACACAGACATGCTGATTTTTAAAGGCCAAAGGAACAAGGTTATTCATTAACTGAGGCAGGCTAAATCCCAATTTTATCTTAATATTCTACATAATGCCAAAGGTAACAGCAAACTAATATGGCAGGGCATCAATAATCTGATGAGGAATGAGCCACTCATCTCAGAAGATATTCAACAGAAAATTGATGGAATTTTGACAGATGAAAAGTCTACTATTGCTGCAACTTTTAATTATTATTTTATTGATTCAGTTAATGAGCTTGGGAGAAACTTCACTGAAAGGGAATTGGACTTTGCACCCATTACTTCTCCAGATGAAGCCTTTGTTTTGGCTCAAATGGAAGTCACAGAAGTGAATAAAATCATCGGCTCCTTAAAGAACTCAAAATGCAGGGATGTCTTTCAGCTCGATACCATGTTAACTAAAAAACACCAAAACACGTTAGTGCCACCAATCACTCACTTAATCAATTTATCAATAAAACACAAAGTTTTTTTCAAGTGCCTGGAAGCAAGCCATTGTTACCCCTATCTTTAAGTCTGGTGGCCGTTATGAAGCCAGTAATTTCAGACCAATAAGTATTCTTCCTGTGCTTTCAAAAGTTGCCAAGAAGGTTGTAATCAAACAACTGACTGCATATCTCGCAGATAGCAATTTTTGTTTACATCCATTGCAGTTTGGCTTTAGGCCCAATCACTCCACTGAAACAGCTGCTTTACATCTGATCGAGCAGATAAAGTCCAAACTAGACAAAGGAGGGGTAGTTGGTGCCGTATTTTTAGATTTGAGAAAGGCATTTGACACGGTAAATCATAATGTTCTTATCTCAAAACTTTCAAAATTCAATTTTTCATCCAAAACGCTGCAATGGATGTCTTCTTATTTATCTGATAGGATGCAATGTGTTAGTTATTGATGTATTTTCTGATGATACTAAGTGTACAATAGGTGTCCCACAAGGTTCTGTTTTAGGGCCCCTCCTATTTAGTCTCTATATCAATGATCTGCCACAGGTGTGTCAAGGCATGGATTTGCAAATGTATACCGACGATTCTGTTTTATATACACATGCAAAAACTGCTGAACTATCAGCTAGGAAGCTGATAGCTGCTATGGAAAGGATCACAGAGTGGTTTGACCAGTCATGTCTCAGCCTTATGAGCAAGACAAAAGGTATGTTCTTCTCTAAAACCAACCAGTCTGCCAGTGATGACGTTGGTTTAAAGGCTGAGAGGATTGACGTTGTGAGGGAGTTTAAATATCTTGGTGTAATAATTGATTCAAATCTTAATTTTAAGTCACATGTGAAAAAAATTACCAAAATCATCAGATATAATCTAGGTTCCCTTTCAATGGATGCCACAAAGACTTTCATGCACGCTATAGTCCTTTCTTATTTGTCATATTGTATCACATGTTGGGGACAGGCTGGAGAAACAGCCATTAAACCACTGGAATCTCTGTATAAACAAACAAACTAAGATAAGAAATCTATGCAATATCACCACTGCAGGATTCTAGAAAAGCTTCATCTGCTTAGCTTTGAGAATTTTAAACTGTTTTCTAATTTGTGTCTTATGTTTAAGATTTTAAATGGCTTGGCTCCTTCCCCATTACGTCAATTTATTAATATTCGCCCTGAGCAGTCCATAAAATCCACCAGAATATCTTCAATAAGAGATTGTTCTGTGCCTTTCCGTCGCACCGCTTTTGGTCAGTCAGCTTTCTCTGTATAAGCCACGGCTCAGTGGAACACTCTCCCTGACAGCATTAAGACCTCTGATTCTATTGGAAGCTTCAAGAACAAACTGATGTTTTAATTGTGACCTGCCAAGGGACTGCAGATGTAAATTAGCTTTAAGGTAACTCTGGTACAATGCATCAAATGGAAACATTTACGCTTCTTATTGTACATGGTCCCTTTACAAATAGACGAATAAATAAATAAATTTCACCCTTTACAAAGTGTTATGCCCCCGGATCTGGGAACGAGGCATAATAACACAAGTAATGTCTCCTCTGTTTGTAGTAATGTAGATATAGGGTAATAGACATTTAGTGGCATGGCGGTTGTGCACTGTGATTGGTGACTGGTTGGGGAAATTGGGACGACACCTTGTGTTCTGATTGGGCGTCGGTTGGTCATGGGGGGGGGTGTCCTTTAATTTGACCGAAATCAAAGATGGATCTTGCTATTTGCCGGAGCCCTGAAGTGGAGGACACCTTCCCCAAAATTTCGTTTCCGATAACGCAATTTTGTTTTATTTTAACTCGTCATCTATTAGACTGCCATGTTTTCAGAAAATAACTCACTATACTGAACCAGAGAAGCTGGACGATGCGGAGCTATTCGCCGGTGGAGCGGCCGCTTGCGCTAGCCCTGGGTTACGGTGCCGTCTTGAGGGGAGGTAAGTTCCGGCTTTCCTTCCACATTCACCAGTCCAGGCCAGCCTGCCTTCTTTTATAAGCAAAATTATAACCCTAGACAAACGTGACTGCGACAAAAGCATGAAATTTGCCTATGTATAATTTATGGAGACATTATGTCTCATTCATCAAGGCATTATACATGCTGTATAAAGCCTTTGTGAGCAACACTTCATCTAAAGTGTGACCACATTTACAATAACACATCTCCCAAGCTGAGAAAGCCATATTGGAGCTAAATACATACGATTTCCTGGAGTCATAAAAATGTATTTTATTTTTCTGAGCATTTGGTCCCTCTTCAGCCCTCCGCTCTCTTTGCCTTTCTCATATAAGTGATCAGCCATTTGGCTTGAACTCTGTTACTGAGCATTTTGGTGTAAACCTTATGATTCAACCCTCCTGCTGGCAACAGGTCAAATATTTGAAGAAGCTCGATAGTTTTCTTCAAAGAACTAAGACTGGATACATTTAAGGATCCCCTATCATGTCAGCAGGTGTATGGCCAATTAGCCATTACAAGCCATTTCAAAATTTTTCCTTTGTGACATCACAATGGAGGGACACACAATCCAGAATAATAAAGGAGCTGATTAAATGGCTGGATGAAGTTGATCAGTCCTTCTTGCCTCGGGGTGGCACCTTCCCCATGCAATGTCACAGAGAAACAGATTTTAAAATATCTTGTAAATGCTAATTTGCTGTGCACCTGGTGACTTAATTGAGAAATTTTAAGTAAGGTCTGTCATCCCCTTATTATTAATTAGTAAATGCACACTTTTAACATTTATAATTTATTCTACTTTTAATTTATCTATTTCCCCTTGATCAAACCCTGTTTGTCATTTCCTCTTCAATATATTAGTATTTACATATTATGAGCTTTTTGTATCAATTTTATAGTGAGTAATTATGGGCATTAGATGCATTAAAGGCAAGTCTAGGGTCGTGGTTCCCAAGAAGTTTTTGTTCCAACCGCAACTGCAATGACCATTTTAAACAGCAGTTAAATTTTACTTATTATTTGCTTTTTATATTCAAAGGAATTATTTGCCCTCTTTCGATGGCATGTGGCACATTGCCCAAAATAGCTATAGCTGAATGCCATGTCGGATAAACAGTGTGCTGCACTGCAAGCATTTGCAAAAAGGTTACACATTTTTCACAGACCAAATTTAAGACAATGGTGAATCAAAAGGGTCCTATTTACATTGGCGAATGTGGTATTTTTTCCTTCTTTTACACACTCAGATTTGGTCCTAATCATTTGTCTTTTTTACCTTTTATTTAACCGGGGAGATTCCATTAAGAACACATTTCTCTTTTTCATGGATGCCCAGGGTGCAATGCCAGTTAGAACAGTTGCAAGTGTAGGGGGACAGAGAGAAACAGGGGTAAAGTCCCTGTAGCAATTTCTGGGGTCAAGGGCTTTGCTCAATGGCCCAACGGCAGTGTTCTTCCCAAAGTCATGTCTGCAGATCAAATCACTGGGGGCTTGACCCATCAATTCTTGGTTACCAGTCAAGCAACCTACCACTAGACTACCCAGCCACCTTTTAATTTGTTTTCACTACATAACTGATATTTTCACAAATTACAATTTCCCCCTCTTTTTAATGCAGTTTTCAACTTAGTATTATATGAATATAGAGCTCTTCAGTGCATGAATACTAAGTATTCCTGACATAATTTGGCTTTAAAAACTAAATAATCCTTGTCAAGATGAGTAGAGCAAATAAGTAAAAATTAACACCTTTTTAAGATTCTGGGGTTACAGTTGTGAAGAATGGGTAAAATGTACAACATAAAAGCAGCAGACTAATATTTACAAAGACAAAAGAAGAAAACTTGTCTAGACTCATCAACTTCATTGGCTTTTTTTTTTTTTTTAATAAAATCTATTTTGAAATGTGATGTCAGCAGCATGAAGTTGAGGCTGGTACACGGTCACCTCTGTGTGACATCACCTAGCTATTTAATCACTTGCAGTTGAATATTTGTGATGGAGCATGCTAACTGAAAGTGGACTTCGTTCCCATACTTGCCTAACATAGAACTTCAGTTTGTCAATATTCCAGGGTCTCCAATCTGCATTCTCATACGTTCCGCTTCATAATCCACCACACGTTTTCAAAGGGAGACAGCCCTAGGCTGCAGACAGTACTTGCGGGTATAAGTCCACACAGTCATAATTGGAGCACTGTGTAGCTTGGCATTATCCTGTTGGAACAAGCAGCGGTGTCCCTGAGAATGCCGAAGTCTGGATGGCGGCATATGTTGTTCCAAATGCATGTATACCCTTATGCGTCGATTGAGATTTCACAGATGTTGGCTCTAGGCATCAAGAACATGCACAGGTCCTTCAACCCATACAACCACATATACAGCAAAATGTTCAGAGTTAAATCAACTCTTAAAGAGTGTATTTGGTTCCACTCAAGAAAGTGTGAGCTCAAATAGACTCTTTGAGAGTATATTTCACTCTGTAAGAGTCACATTAACTCTGAGCATATTACTGTGTAGGGTGTTTGTTCATACTCTTTAATATGACCCACGTGAGTGTCTCCTAGATTAGCGTTCCTACCACCACTAGGAGCACCAGCAGGTCTTCATTTCAAAATTTGTTCCCTCTTCTGATATAACTCATAGGAGCATTTCTTATACCTAAGGAGTGCAGTTTCAGCAATTACTGTAAGTAAGAGCAGCACTGCACCTTTGAAAAACATTGTGGCTTTGGCTAAAGTAACTACTTCCTAAAGGGTAAGGTGAGGTTAAGGTTAGGGTTCAGGGTTAGGGCAAGGTGAATTTTTTATTCTTAAAAAACAGTCATGGATTGCGCTTGCAAATGTTAAACTTGCATTTTTTAATGGGGATATTCACAGAAGTCAATATGCCTGATAGGGTGAAACTTAAAAAAAATTTTGCGCCATTTTCAACAAAATATGGGGAAAAGAGAAGTTGCAGACCACTTAATTCTCTTTTTATTTGTATTTGGCATAATTTCCCAGTTCTTGTGGATCTGAGGTCACAATACACAAGTGTGGTTTAGTATAGTTCAATGGTTGGCAAATTGTGAAGCTAGGCTAAAGTTTTTACCCCTTGGCCACTATCATGGCCGATCTGGTACAGTCATCATGATTGCGTCTGTAAGTCTCTCTCTGTGTCCGTCAGTATGAATGTTGGTATGTCCCGATACTCAGTACCTAATAATATTTCACCCCTGATACTTATCACATGTAAGGACCAAAGGCTGTAGTTGTGCAATGACCTACTTTTACAGGGATTTGACTTTTGACCTAAGTGCAGTGACCTTGACCTTGGAAATTTTCCCAACAATTTATAATAGCAGCAATGTGAAATTGGCCACATATAAAGTACACTCTATTGACCCCAGCATTATCTGCCAATATTCGACATTTGGCCTTTGATCTCTTCTTCTTCTTCTTCTGAGATTCCGGCAGGCTGTATACCATACGGCGTAATGCTGCCCTCCACAATTCATTACAAGACACTATTCAAATCTTCTCACCATTCGCTCTCACACTCATACCTATGGGCAATTTAGTGTCTCCAATTAACCTGACATGCATGTCTTTGGACTGTGGGAGGAAACCGGAGTACCCGGAGAAAACCCATGCTAACACGGGGAGAACATGCAAACTCCACACAGAAAGGCCCCAGGCTGGAATCGAATCCACGACCTCCTTGCTGTGAGACAACAGTGCTAACCACTATGCCACCGTGCTGCCCTTTGATCTCTTCATTATGACCTTGAATACTTTTTCACTCTTGTGAAAAATACAAATCTCAGAATTTTTAAATTACAGAGCAATGACATAATTGCGTAGAGGTGCTAGTAATGCAAAAATATGTTTTGTACAATTCATGTCACTGAGACCAATTTATGCTGATTATGCAAAAAATATGTTTCGTTCAAATTAGGTCACTGTGACCTGCGGACTTTATATCAGTATTCATTTGCACCTGCATGATGATTCCAGTCTGTTTGATATAAAGGCAAGGCCGAGGGGTCTTAAGTGCCTTGCACGTTATGTTCCAGATCCTGTAACTGAAGCTGTAAAAACTCATGAGAGAGAATTTTAATAATAGATGCGCTGCACGAGGGGGACTTAGAGTCTTGATTCAGTTTGTTCACCAGAGTCCTGGAGAAGTCATCTTGGAATAGTAGTATGGAGAATCAAACAGCCAAAAATAAATTAGGAAATAAACAAAATGACCCAATAAATAAAAAAAATATGAAACAAGTGATGCCAGGCACAACAAACCCCGCCCCTCGCACATACTTTGACCTACTTTTCCTAAATTCAGTAGGTATCTATTCTGGGTCTTTGGCAATCCCTAAACCTAATTTGGGGTGAATCTGGCCATTAGTTTTGGTGCTAAAGTGTTAACAAACAAACAAACAAACCGAACCAAAAACAATACCCCTTGCCCTGCCCCTTCGGGCAGGGCGGGGTAATAATAAAGCAAGACACGTATAAATAAATGCTCAAATAAATGTTCAGGTCAATTTGAAAATAAATATGCACAGAAATAGAAAAAAATAAATTAATAAATGCATTTATTTATCTGTTTTTATTCATTCCTGTACTTTTTTGCCCATATGTTACAGAGATGGCATGTCATGACCATTGAGGAAATAGCAGTCAAACCCACACTAAGATCAGGGTCAAAATTATGACCACTGAGAGGACGGAGAAGGCTGTGTTTTTCCCAAAGACAGCTTCTGATCAGGCCAATGATAAACCGGTGGTGGTAACTGAGAGGCCGGCGGTGGGAAGTAAGAGGCCAACTATTCATTAAAGGTGGTAACTCATTCATCTTACATAGGAACCCACTGGATCGGCTACTGGCTTGGTTGGTAACTTGCACGCCAAGGCTTGCAACCCACAGTATTTGCAACTGGTTTCACTGGAAACTAGCATGCCAAGGTCACAAACCCAGTGGATCATTTACTGGCTTGGTTGGTAACTAACAAACCATGGCTAGCAACCTACTGGATCGGCTACTGGCTTGGCTGGTAACTAGCAAACAGAAGCTAGCAACCTACAAGCCACTGGCTTCGTTTGTCACTGGGCTCCACGCCAAGCAATTTTTGTTACCGGATCCATACAGGCCTATCCTGTCCAAGAGGGAAGCAACTTCATCAGCTGGCAGCTTTTATCATCAGCTCTGGAAAGGAACACCATTTTTAACAAGTTTTAACTTGTTCTGGATGCGATCTGATAAGGTATACTTCACAGTATCTAGAAAATGCTCAAACCTTTTTTTTTATCTTAATAAAGGTGATCCTGAATAGAGCACTGGATTTTTTCCAAAGCAGAAAAAAAGCATTCTTTCTCCTCTGTTTCCGGGGGCATAGCCACTGACGTAGTCAACTGTCAAGACAATGTTTCGTTTACTTTTCAGTACAGCAATCCATTAAATCTGCATTGGACTACATCTAATCTGCAGTTTTGTTTAATTGTTAATTAATGTCAAGGTAAAAATAACATTTTCTTGGCAGTATAGGCTGAAATGTAGTTTAGCCTGTGATTCAAAATAATTTGAAGTCAATACATTTTTAAGCACATATAAAGCATGCACATTCAATACCACACATAAATTGTCATCAAAGTTGGTGACAACGCTGTTGGAAACAGAGGAGAAAGAATACTTTGCATTTAATCCAGAATCTTATTTATTATCAATGTAAAAATGGTTGCAATGTCTTCTGGATGTGTAGTGTACCTCATCATACTGCATCCAGAAGAAGGTAATACTTGTTAAACTCAGCATTATTTTCTGTTGCTGGAGATGGAAGTAACTAGGTAATGAACTTGCTTCCGTCTCATCTAGAGAGGACATGTTGCTCGAAAAAAAAAAAAAAAAACCATCCAATCCTGTTGCCGATCCTGAGGGTTACTAGCCTCGGAAGCTAATGACCAGCTTAGCCAAAAGATGATCCCATGGGCTGCTACGTTTGATGATAGAGTAACCACATCGATTAAATGAATAGTCGGCTTCTCATTTCCCACCATCGGCCTCTCAGTTACCACTGCCAGCTTATCATTGGCCAGGTAGCTGGTTTCGGCAGGGATATAGCCTCCTACAACTTCTCAGCAGTCTTATGGTATGTTTGAGACATCTACAGAACAACACTGTCACACAAACTCCCCATTCTTTCTCCTAGGTACAGCTCTCTAACGCGCCTGGATGGGAACTGGGAATTGTAAAAAGGGGAACGCCTTGAATACAACAGTCATTTTCCACAGTCATTTACTGCTTAAGGCTGCATACTGGCTCGTTGTGGGGAGTCAGACAAGCAGAGTCCATGTCTGAACTCTCATGTACATTAACCAATGACTGTTAAATGACACCATCCGGATACACCACCTCATTAACATGTGGGTTAAGAAATACAGGAATAAACAAGTGGTGCCAGGCACAGCAAACCCCGCCCCTCGCACATACTTTCACCTACTTGCACGAAATTCAATAGGGATCTATTCTGGGTCAGTGGCAATCCCTATACCGAATTTGGGGTGAAT